TACTTCATCATCTTTGATCGTTTTTGATGAGGTGAGGGAAAGAGGGGAAGTAAAGAGAGAGAATGGAAAAAGAGCAAATAATACAGGAAAGAGGTGAGGAGAGTTAAAACGTATGTATTATGAAAGAGGAGGGATTATGATTAGGGTTTCGTAGATCGAAGGTGGGAGCGGTTGAGGAAGGAGTACGTTAGAGTTCGATAGAGGAAAGAAAGTAGTATCGTATATGATGACTGGGTAAGACTACCTTTTTACGATATTTGTAATATATGTTTATTAGACGTGGGAATATTTCTTTGAATAATGATATATACAGTATAATTGTTAAATCCGTACGTTAAAAGCTAAAAATGAAAAATTTAAGGTAAATCTAACAGTAATTACACCAAGTGACAATCATATATTTTTATATTATTACATGAAGTACGAATTTATATCATTATTATATGCATATATATCACCCTAAGGCACATATATATCATTATCCTATTTTTTAATTATGGCCCAAATTTTATATAATTCATGTTCATTACATTTTCCAAAATCATAGCATAAATACATATTATAAATTAATTTAATATGATGACCATAATATCCAACCACAAGCTGTGTTACACGCGGCTCCACTAGACTTCTTACCATAAACATAAAGAAAGAAAAAGGATGGATACTTTTTGTTGTTCACTCGTTTGTGAAGTGACGAGAGTTTTAGCTTACAAACTTATGAACTCGCCGTGGACCCCACGAAAATCATTAACCAATCACCATCCTTATAATCATCATTATTATAATTATAATCATCATCATCATTGTACGTATTATAATATAATAACAAAAGTAACTAAAACGTGTAATTATCACGTGCATAGCTTCTCAATACATTATACATAACCCTTCTTCATATAGTAATCTCTAAGATTTCGTGAATTAACAAAATAAACTATCTTTCAATCATTAACAACCACAATTATGTAGATATTTTAATATATTATATAGTTTGATTAAAATAATGGGATTATCATATTGCTGGATAAGCTTAAAGCTTTGTATTTAACAGTAATGTTGCTAAAGATTACTCTTGGCGTGTGCCAAACTTTGATCCATTTTTATGAACCTAGGATTGTATGTACTTCTTGTTCACGTAATTTCAATCCAATGTCAACTTCTATTTTCCTCATTTTTTTGCTGTTTTTATATGGTTCTTGTTACTCCAAATGTTTCTAGTATATATCACGATTATTACTATTAGCAATTATATATATCCGACGTCATAAATTTAACTAATAAGACCCAATCATGTTAATTAGAATGATTAACTAAATTTAATGAAGTCATATTCGATGAATAAAATATCATTTAAAAAAGCAGTAATAGTTGTAATGTTTAAAAAGACCTAATCTAAAAAGAAAGAAATTGAACTTAATCATCCTATTTCAAGGAAAACAAACATATTTTTAGAAATCTATCATAGAAACATAAATAATTAAAATATAGGTAACCATTCCCTTTTTTGATTTTATGACCTTTTAAGTTGATCTTGATGGTTATGGCCAACAAACTCTTCAACATTAATTATTACCTTTTGAGCCTTACATGTTATGAAAAGGTTACAATCTATTATTATAGACAAATTGGGTATATTAGCTTTTAGGATCAAACTCACCTTTCTATTTCATACATAATATTCCCTCTAATATTTTTTTTAATTATAATTATTACGAGTATTATACTTTAATTTTACCGTTTTGACTATTTAATTAGATGTGTATTTAATATTGATTTTCTTAGTAAATTTTTAGCTATTTTGTTTAAAGATTTATACAAATTTAGCAAACACATTTTCAATATCTTACATATAAGAAAATAAAATTAAGCTTAAATGTAAATATATGAAAAAAGATTAAAAGTGGATGTAGAATAAAATTACAAACAAATATACCCAAAAATGAAGAACAATGTAAACAAGTTAATGGGACAAAAAACTTAATGACACAAGCTATATGACATCCGTATTATGGAGTATATTATAGGATGGTAAATTAACCTCATTTTAGTTGGGGATAAAATTTTTCATACGTGTGGATAAAACCGTTAGTTCTAGTTTTTATCTCAAGCTACTACTTTCATTTTCTTACAATAATAATACCTTCCACAGAACCTCTTTAGCTTGTCCAAAAGGCACACACAAAATAAATAAAAACATAACAGTAACAATAACTACTAAAAATAAAAGGAAATCCAATAGAATAAAACAGAATCATGCACCAAAATATAGGTGATTGAACAATAATACACGTATGATTACGTTATCGTGTAACCTAAGTCACACTAACAAATTATTTTTGTACAAGGCGGTGGGCCTTTGTATTTATACACAACTGCCAAACTAGTTTCTTGTTCTCTTCCACTTAATTCTCTCTTTCTCTTTCTCTCTCTGCCTAAAACATATATATATCAAGTTTAATTACCACTTTAAATTCATTATTATTGTAACCTTAACTACTAAGCTACTTATTAATAATAAGCTCTTAAGGAAATCAAAACCTCTCTCTTCCTTTTTCCCCCAAACATTTAAGACAAAAAATATTTTGATTCATTTACAATGAACAACGACATGCTTTCCTCAAAGAGCAACAAGATTTGGTGGTCCAAGGTTAAATCTTCATTTTCTTCAAAATATGGTAAGCACATGACAAATACTTCAAGATTTTTGTTTCATTCTATTAAATTCTTTGTTTCGAGGGAGGATTTTCTCCAATTACTGAACAACGAAGATCAAATCCCTCGTTTGATTTTTGATGTTATAGCTGATTCGTTCAATTATGGAGAGAATCCTGATCCGATGAGATAACATAACTAACGGAAAATTATTATAATAAATATGTATGCTTAATTATTATTATAATCTATCTTAGATCTTGAATGATGTGGTGCTAATAAGATTTTTGTTTTGTGTTTTGTAGGAAATTCAAGGAAAAAACTAGGGAAAGAGGCTAGCTTGTGTGGGAAGCTAAATGTGAATGAAGAGTACAAGGGAGTATTTCGAACACAATCATACATGGAAATTTGGAGCAAAGCTCAAATTCAGCTAACAGGATTACAAAATCCAACTTTAGATGACAAGCTTTCTTCTTCTCCTTTAACATCACCTTCACCTCTGTCTTCGTCTCCGCCTCCGTCTCCATCTTCCTTAACTTCATCATCTCCGCCTCCCTTTTACACGCATCTCACGGAACTCCTCCTAGAGCCGCGACAAGAGGCTGTGATTGATCTCATAAAATCGTCGAATCTTCAAACCCTTCTTGTTGACTACTTTGATGCAAGCCTTGAGGCTAGCAATATATGTGAATCTCTCCTAAAAGGAATCCATAAAACTCGGTCTAACCACCGGTTTATCAAAAGGGTGCTCAAGTTATCTGAGCAAGGAGATGAACAATGTCATGAATTACTACTTCAAGAATTAGCTTCCTTCGCAAGCTTAAGCAATCCTTTGTTAGAAATCATTGATGGCACGGTAGACTTTCGTATGATCCATGAAAATTACTCTCATCTTCTTCGAAAGTTGACCTCAAGGAAGAGGAAAATCAAGAGAAGGGAGAAATTTACGCGGTTATATAAGAAGGCAGCTGGTTATGGATTTGTGATCACATACGCGGTGTTTGCTATCGCGTTGTTAGCCTTAGCAATGCATAGCATGGTAGGACTATTAGGGGCACCAGCCTTATTATTGCCATTGTCGAAGGGTGTGATGAAGAGTGTACACGGTGGAGGATCGCTTAAGACGAGCTTCCTTAAGCACCTAGGGTCACAACTAGATGTCGCGGCTAGGGGGATTTATACCTTTATCAATGACTTTGACACGGTAGGGAGGCTCGTGACACGGCTGCACGATGAGGTTGAGCATAAAAGACAGGTTGCTAAGATGTGTGTGAGAAATGGGAGGAACCATGAAGTGATTAGGGAAGCACTAAAGGATATTCAGTTGCACGAACACGGGTTTGAAGAACAAATGGATGAGCTAGAAGAACATATTTACTTGTGCTTCTTAACTATAAATAGATCAAGAAGATTAGTTCTTCAAGAAATATTAGCCCCTTTGAGTTGATACCACAATGGCAGCATTATAGCAATATCTCTGCTCGCGCTAGCTGCTTAGTGATTCTTTGGATAGAAGTTAGCTAGCTAGTAGGACAATTTTTTCATTGATGTAGTTACAAAAACAATACAATTCTTGATTTTTATTTATTCATTTATTTATTTATTTATTTAACGCTAGTTAGTTAGAGTAACATTTGATTATATTGATGATTTATGTAAACTAGTGTAAGTGTGTAGCACATAAAAAGATTTTATTCTTTTTTTGATTGTTCGATTTTGGATCTAGGAATTAAATGTAATACTACAATTTTTTCACAGAGCATTTCTCAGTAGATCTATCACAAGTTTTGCTTAGTTGCCAATCTTCCTAGTGCACGTAGCATCATATTCTGCCTTTGGAGAAACTAGCATATAGATGAAGAAAGTGACCTCAACACAAGATCATCTAAGATCATATATATACTTAGAATGCTTGGAGTAAGATAGGGGGGCCGAGCCACCATGAGGGTAGCGGGAGGAATGGAGTTTAGAGAAAGATACGAGCGAGGTGGTACAAAGGATGGGGTATAATAGGGATGGTTGAATGAAAGGGATTGCTATGTTTATTTTGGGGTAGTCTATGATATATCAGCCTTAGGGGATAGTGGGAAATTATAGTTACTCTTTTGAAAGATACAAGTATGTTATAATTAACTCCACACCATTCTTATTCCCCTTCAACAACCACCAACTTCACCTATTTTGTTGCTTTAAATTTGTTTCATATCAACTCTTTTAATTTATTGGAATACTTCCCCTTGAAATTATCATGTGTTTTGGTAGAATTATTTATCCCCTCTCTATTTTTATGACACTTTAAACAATGGTAAGTGTTTTTGGCATTAAATCCATCCAAGTGTGGTTCCAAAAATAATGGGAAAATGTGGATGCATGTCATACATCGAGAGATAAAACTAGATCTATGAGAAATTGAAAGTGTTTCTTGACCAACAGGATTTCTTACAAGAGTTGTGGAAACTAATAGAGTTGCTGGTTGGACAACCTTTTTTTTTTTCTTTCATATTTTGATAAGTAATCAAGCATTACCATTAAATAAACCTAAAGATATTTACAAAGTTAAAGACAACAGCAAAGAACAAAACAATCAAGATAGATTCTTGAGGACAACCCAAACAATTCAAATATATATATATATATATATATATATATATATATATATATATATATATATATATATATATATATATATATATAATAAAGGTCCTAAGCTAGTCATTCTATCTTATTTCCTCCTCTATTTAGTTGACGCGTTGGATTTAGGCACACATATTAAGGAGAGAAAAGCGAATGATAAAAACAAGTGGAGTAGACTAGTAAATACAAATTATAAAACTTATTTTAAAAGAAAACGTGTCAACTAAAAATAAACTTTCTAAAAAAAATATATGTCAACTAAAAAAAAAAAAAAGAGGTAGTATAATATTTCAAAAGTCATACTATTTTATAATGTTAAGAAAGATTTGTTACTTTTCCAATATTACCATAGTATAAAATAATCCAGGTTGATTATTTTAAAGAAAATAAAAACTTCGTATTTGATCAATACAATTAAATACTCCATATGCAATTTTGTCAGGTTCTTAAAAATAGACGAACTATCGACTATGCAACAACTAGTCTATGACACGAGGGTATATAGTGCACACAATCAAGCCCAATTTATTATGCAAACATACACGTTAAAAAAAAAAAAAAAAACAAGCTAGGAGCAATATACTTGGTATATCCTACTCTAGAAAGCATGATGGATACTCCATAACAACATTTTGAACACTCCATTAACAAACGGGTTTTGATTATTAAGCAATATACTTTTGTGTACGAAATCTCAGCCAAACATTAACATTAAAATACATCGATATGATAAGGATTATACTTTGAACATACATGCAATTCTTTTTGAACGTGGAGGAAAAACTTCTTCAGAACACGTATACAAATACAATGAATAAAACAAATTCAAGACACAAAAAAAAAAAAAAAAAAAAAAAAAAGGAGAAAAAAAAAAAACCTTCAACAAAACAATGTTATCAATATTTCTTATGCTAGATTTATTCAAGTTACATATACAATATAAAGGAAATCATACAATAACATAGAAGGATTCGAGATTTGGTCACCGTGGGCCTAGTCCTAGATCTGATTCTTATGGCTTCAACGTCTAAATGTATCCCCCTTCAAGCTCTCAGCGTCTTCAAAACAATTAGAATGAGGTGCTCGGACCTGCTCTATGGTAGTTAGTGAGAGCTTTATGATCAGCTACAATTGCAAGGGATAAATCTAGCAAGAAAATAATGTTAGCTGAGATTTCGTAATTTCTTAAACTCATCAAAATCCACAAGCGTTTCCTTAATCTTCAGCCAGTCTCCTGGTCTTGGCATCACAATTGCGATATAACCTTCTCTTTCAGCCTGAAATATCGAGGTAAAAGGGAAGTTGAATCAGTAAGATTTTGTTGCATAACAAACCCAAGAAACCAGGTAATTCTGTACAATTAAGCAGTGTTTCTAATCAACTTTCAACCTAAACACATGACTCCAATCTATGTTGGTTAAAATATCAAATCCAAAAGAGTAACAATTTTACAAATGAGAATGACGCATATTAGACTATATTCGATTTAGATATATTTCCTACAAATAGCAACAGGTCAAGCAAGTAATGTTTGATGAGCCGCAAGGTGTGTAGTGGTGAAAATTTTATCCCACCTCCTGGACCAATGGCATGAGTTCAAACACTCAAGAAAGGGGAAGTGGAGTGAGAGCGAGGAGGACAGGGCAGGGCCGCAGGGGCTGGGTGATAAAACTGATAAAATGAGGGAGAGGAAGGAGGGGGGGAGGGGGGGGGGGTTCATTATGCGGGCTATACCTGAGGTACATGGCTTATCCCATCATTTAAAAAATCAAAATTTAAGTTCAACGATAGTGAAGAATGATAAGCACAGTCCTATGTCATTTATACCACAGGACACAGGTTATAAAAAACAGTAGAAAAGCATATTACTGAATTCTCACCGATGAATTAAGCAGGTCTGGATTCTCAATTAGTTTATTATTGACTTCAAGCAATGGCCCTTTGACACAACACCTGTTCATGACACAGCCTACTCGTTATTATCAAGAGGCAAGATAAGGCAGAAGAGAAGCAAGAAGCAACCAAAAACTTACCTGACAGTGTAGGGGACATCACCACTATGGACGTTGCACAAAATACTATTTGGTTGAAAGTGTTGAGCATTCTGCACAAACAAATTGTTCAGGTGAAGATCAACTAATTGCATAATATCACATTGTATTGGCATTGTCTTTTATTTTAACTATCCAACAAAAGATTGATCTATGCATCACTTATTTTAACAAATAGCATAAAAAAAATAACAAAATCATCACAGCCTAATGAGCAAATATGCTTAAAGTATCATAGTGATCTGTGGGAATTGGCAGAATGTCCAGAACCTGGAGCAGAATTCGGATAGATCATCAACAAGTTCAACCGACGAAAGTCTTGGATTACTCTCCATATGAGAAGCTAGGAAGGCACAACATGACGAAACCCCTACCCCTGATGATTAGGGCTTCAAGGGACTACTGGCTGCATGTCACATATTTTGTGCCTAGATACCGGTATAACAAATTCATTAAGAAGACTAAATTTGTTGCATATTTGTGGGCTAAACTAAGTTGATAGCTAATGAGTGCATGGTCCATATTACATTTGTGCAATATTGAGTTATGAACTAAACTTACAGAACAGTTCAGTCACATAATTTACAACATTTGCTAGTCCATACTCTTCAAGGGACCGACAAAAGAAGTTCAATTTACAGGGACTGAGAAGGAGAGTATTCTTCCTTTTGGTTTTTATACGAAGTAGCTCATAAGCCTTTATTTCACTAAAGAAACAAGCCACTTAAATTAGGTGTATTTTACGAAACCAATGAACTTGCAATCTGTAACTATTTCATTTTGAAAGTTCTCCTAGAACTTGGCAAAATAAGATACTGTACCAGCGCAGTTAAAATCGAAAGTTTTTTACACTGTTATTTGACTTATTCATTGTAGTCCGCTATGCTTTCCCATCAAAAAGTATGCACTTCACAAAAGCTTGTAGGGGACTAAGTTAATAAGTGATTAAACTATTGTGTTTATGCAATACATCTTCATGTCCAACATTATGAGAGTTGGGTCCTAAAATGCATGAACTTGAATACAAGTAGTAGACTTGGGAGCACGGATCTAAGAGTCAAACACCAAACATTCTAAATTCAGCATTCATGTACAAAATTACTGGAGTCCAAAGTTGCACTATTGACATATTCATAAGGATACTTTCCTTTCTCATACATGTATATGTAACACTAGAAAGAACCAAAAATTTCAATTTTGGACAAAACCGAAGGTCCCAAGTATCCTTATCCACTTCAACAAAGATTCTTGAAATGGAATAAGGAGTCCAAGCATCATTTTTGACATTAGCAATACAGATTTATCCCTTTCTACAGCCAGCCCCAACTCAATCTCTATGATTGATATAATGATTTACAATACTTAACTATTTATTCTATTGATTAGCAGGGCAGAAAGAAGGCCCGCATAGTGTTCAACGACATTCTTACTCGCCCTTGTTTAGAGATCGAGAAAAAAGCTTCTGATGCTTCCTACCCAAATCCTTAACCTTTTTTTCCAGCAAAAAACATGGCTACTATAATATCAACATAACAAGAACCTAATATGTAATGTAAGTATGCACAAAACACAAGCTAATTTCGATACCTTCTTGCGCTTCCCTGAGACCTTCAATTCGCTACGATCAGACTTTCCAACATTAAAATCTACAGAGGTAACACCTCCTTCAGCCTGAAGAGCTACATGGGTTTTTGCCAACCCAATCACACATAACCTGTATTATAATTTCCAAAAACACAACAAAGTTATCTCAACACAAAATATCATAGCTCATTCTTCCAATAAAAGCAATAAGATTAAAAGACAATGCACTTATGCACCTTTGATCATTCAAATTTAATTCAACTAACCAACAACTTATACTTTAGCAAACTATTTTTTTGCACAATCATAATATTATTAGCATCAATATATAGTTGTAAATAACTCCCACTCAGATTCAGTTTAGTATACTTGTACTCATTTGGATTTAGTTGTCACATCAATAGTACGATAAACATAATCGACGCGACTATTAATTCCCGAGAGTGAGAGCACATTAAATAATTGACAAAAGCATACCCATTAGCATGACGATACACATATTGATCATGCCCTGCCTTCATAAAATCTGAATGTGTAAACATATCACAAACTATTATAAACCCATCAAAATAAAATCACAACTTTCTCAAATTAATTAACAAAACCCAATTGAAATCATCTTTAATTCTCCATTAACGAATCCCTTTTTATGAATTTAACCCAAAATAAATGAATAAAATAGAGAGGTTTGAGAAGCTAACCAAGGGCGAAATAGCGAACAAAGTTGGTTTCAACAGCGGAAGGAGGATAAAGGGGAAGAGTGGAAACATCAGGTTGAAGTAATTTCTTCAATTCATCATCTTCTTCTTCAACTTCAAATTTAATTTGTTGTTGAAGTAGAGGTTTTAGAGGGGAATTAGTGAGAGAATTAGGGAGGTAATCAGCAGTTTCTGTCATTGTTTTTGTGAAAACCAACTGCGGCGAGATGATAGCGGATGCAGGACAAACAACAAACCCCCTCGTGGGACTGTTCTGCCGGTTTGCTTAAATTTTATTATTTTATTTACTCTTTTAAGATTAGAGATTTATAAATGGTGGACCAACTTATGTAATGGGGTTTGGTTTTGGTTTCCCCTTGGACTATCAATACCCGTTAGTGTCTCTAATGTGGATATGTTTGACCCTTGTACTATCGAACAGAGCCCATTGTGATGTTATAAAATCTAGTTTTAATTAGTAGCAAACCTAATTAAACTACTCATGGATTATAAGTTGGTTTCTAGCAAAATACTACCGACTCTACAATGTTGTAGACACTAACTAAGATTAGATGTAATATTGAGCTTAGCTATCTTGTGAGGTTTTTCGAGTTTGGCTTAAGTAGTTTTTCATGATATAATGAGCAATATTATGACTTTTAAAAGTTTGTCAATACATTACTCTAAGTCTTTGACAACTAATGTTTTTATCAAATAAAAATTATAAAAGGTTGGTATATTGACAATCACAAACTATTGGGTGCGACTCGCATCCAATAGTTCGTGTGGCAGCCTCTTTCTTCTACAAAAATCCCCCTTCCCTTCTTTTACCGGACTTTCTCTCTACTCCCCTGCTCCGCCATTCTTCCCGGCGTCTTCGCCGAGTATCGCCTTCAGAGGCGTATTTAGGATGGGTTCAAGTGGGTTCATTGAACCCACTGACTTTTTTGGAAATTATTTTATTTTATTTTCTTTATTTTATTTTTTATAAAATAAACCGTAAAAGAATGGATAGATAAAATTTTGCTTACATAACTGATGTGGGAAATGCAGCGTCGCCTAGTGGTATTTTAATGTTTATTTTTTGTGCGCCTCTTTAGTTACTAAGTCAGGGGTTCGATTCCAAGCACACTCATTTTTTAGCCTTTTTAATACTACGTATTTTTTTTCCCTTTTTGTTCCAACTATTTCTCTAAACTCCCAATATTTGAACAAACTCATCAAAGACTAAAAAAATCAAACCCCGTTATTCTAACTGTAATTTCTTCTCCAAAGTATATGAAAACCCGAATGCTTTATTTTATAACCTGAAATTTTTGTAGAACCTTTTTTTCGGTAACTATATATATTACATTGTATTAAGTTATATGTTAGTCCTTATAATCCGGATTTAGATGTATCTATTAAAATTTAATTTATACTTCCTACGTTTTTTTTTGAATTGCAACATTTGTACCCACTCCTTTGATCGGTTTTTTTTTTCTTTTTTTTTTCATATGTTGAAAAATATATATATAGTCAAGTGAAATTTTATTGGATTCATTTCGAATAATATTTTTATGATATCAACTATTTCAAATTTTTACAAAATTTTACTTACGAAATTTTAGTTATAGAATAAGCATTAGCAATCGTGAAATCACCAACGTTACAATTAAAAATATGGAGGACCTATATATTTTTTAACGATTCTGAACCCACAAATATTTTTTAACGATTTTGAACCCACACTACGCCACTGATCCCCTTGCACCATCGATCAGGATTACATCCCATGAAATCTCGTACAAATGATTCGAAAGATCGTTAATAACTAATTTACATTCTGAGAAGAGTAAATTAAATACTCGTTGAGTTCGAAAGATCATCGATCTCTAGAATGCTCGATGAATTCGGCTGATTTTCCGACTTTGGTGGTGTATTGAAGTAATTGAATGTAGTAACCTTCAAAATCGGTGAAGTTTTGCTCGAATTTTAAGATTAAATACTCGTTTTCTTCTCTCTCCTCGTGGTCTCCGCCATAGCTCAAGCTCCCACCGAATCTCCGGCAGCATCTCCTCCTACCATGGTCGCATCTCCCGCTGGATCTCCTCTCTATTTACCACCATGGATGCAGGCTGTAATTATTAGGTGAGGTTGGCTGGGTAATTGCAGTGGCTGGTTAATTGTGGTGGCTGGTTAATTGCGGTGGGCGGTGGCTGGGTAATTGCGGTGGCTTGTTGGGGTCGTGGGTTAGGGTGGTGGCGTGAGGTTAGGGTCGTGGGTTGTTGGGTACTTGGGTGGTGGCGTGAGAAAAAAAGAGAGGAAGAGGGGGAAAGAGGAGAGATAATGAAATAAAAATACTAGTATAATATTAGTCAACAAATAATGCATATCACTCAATTGATGTCTGATATCAGTCAACATTAGGGACATGTCATACATTAATAAAAACGTATCAATCAACACAAGGAATATATCAGCCAACAAATGAAATATATAAGTCAACAAATGGAACATATCAGACAACAAAAGATGCATATAAGCCAACATAAGGAACATATCAGCCAATAAAAGGATAAAATCAGCAAATAAAAGCAACAGGTAAGCCAAAAAATAAACACATCGGCCAACACAATGAAACAGATAAGCCAACAATTAAAATATACGTATCAGCCAACAAAATAAAGATATCAGCCAACTAAAGAAACATATCAGCCGACTGATATCAGCCAACAAAAATTAAAAAAAAAACATATCAGCCAACAAAAGAAATATATTAGCCAACATAGAAACCATATCAGCCAATAAACGAAACATATCAGCCAACACATGAAACATATCAGCCAACAAGTAAAATATATCAGCCAAGCCTACCGCACGCATAATTTGTGTGCCGTAGACCGCACCCAATACCTTCTCATTGACAATATACATTAAGACTAATTTAACAGTTTCTTAAAAATAATAATGTATACATTAGGACCAATTTAACAATTTTATAAAATAAATACTTCTTTCTTGGTTAAAAGGTCAACTCAATATTTTTATTTTTATTTTTTATATTTAACTTGAATGATTTTAGCGACATGACAAGATGCGTTGATAAGTGAAATTGGCTTAGGAGTGTAATCAGGACATAACATGGTATGGTAACACTGGGTTTGGGTCATGCATGAGCCACCTTTTTATCAATGTCAATGCGAAAGGTCATGTTTCAATGATCAAAACTATGAGCCCAACTAAGGTAGGGCTTGGCATGACCCCCTATCCATCTTTAGATATCATTTATTTTTATTAGAAAAAAATATGGTCAAACTAGGATGTACAAATAATGAAAAAGTCAAACCGTTGCGATTAGAAGAAAATAAATAAAATTATAAAATATGTTGTTTGATTGGGGATTTGGGGGTGGGGGGTGTTGGTGGAATTGTATACTGGCAGTCTTGCTTGGGACTGATTTTTACAAGGGCCACGATTGAATTATCATAAGTTAGCCATCCACAAAAACAGCCATATTATAGCACAAAGTAAAATGAGGGCAAGCCAGATTGATGTTGTTTCAGATGAAAACAATAGGACCTTTAGCAGGCCCTTTTCAAGGGAGAAGACTGGTCTCAGTCCAAGTGATGACTGAGCCGAGGATTTCCTGCACAGCAAATACACGTAAACTAGCCTCGGGGGTGGTTGCCGAGGAAGGCCCCTCTGATGCTTAAGTCAGTTCAGTGTGAGAAGAATAAGCTATGCAAGAGAGTTAGTTGCTTGAGGCTTAATGTGCGTGAATGATAAATGAGACAATTGATGGCTTTTATGCCTTTGCTCAATAGAGGAGGATTGGGCCTTTGAAATTAGATGGGCTTGCCACGCTGACTGGGCTTGATTGACTTTAGCATGCTTTGGAGAGTTGAACCTTGCTTTTGGGATTTTGTAATTAAATCATTTGGGCCAGTCCAATTAGATTAACTGAATTGGACCCAAACAACTTGCCCCCCGACCCGATTCAGAAGGATGACGGGTCGGGTTTTGACTTGCAAAATAGAGGGAAACAATGATTGTAATTTGAAAAAGGAATTTGGACAGTTAATGACGTTGTAACTGTCATTAAGGAGAATAACTAGGGAAGGTAGAAGGTTTAGTGGGTAGTTAACTTAGGAACGTGTTTAACGGTAGTGTTTAAGTGGAATTTAGTGGGGTTTTTGGCGGTCTTAGACTCTTGGAATTCTTGATTCCAGCAAGCTTATATAAATCGCCCTCTCCACCTTCTCTAATCACTCTTCGCAAACACACTTCCTGAAATTCGCACAAACCCTTGAGAACCTGATTTTACTCTTTCCTTATTCTCTACAATTCCGAGCCTTTAAACTGAAACTCGTTGCTCCGAGTCAATAGATCGGCCAATTCTGAGTTTGATAAAGGTAATTTTTCTCGAAACTTGTTCGGATTTTCTTGTTCTCCAACCTCTTTCCCTTTTCCTCGATTTCTTTGATTTTTATACAAAAATGGTCCGAGATTTGGGAAAAAGACCCATGGGCGCTGAGGAGGAGGAGAGGTTCCGCCGCTGGGTGCTCGGTGCAACCAGCCACTTGGGTAAATGCCTGCTCTTAGCAACCAAACCTCCCTTCCTAGGAGAGGTGAAAGGGTTTCTTCTAGGAAACCCCCCATTGCTGCGATACCACTGGCTTCGGTGCCTTAGCGAGGCTGGGAAGAGGCGAGCACCTCAAGCGGTGGTTCAGCGCATGGGCCTCGACGCTTACCATCTGGGGTCGAGGAATGGAACAACTCGCTCGAGAACTATGGGCTTACGAATGCTTCACTGTATGACTGGTGGGTCAACGAAAATGCCCTCCATCACTTCGCCCAGCAAATCGAAATATTTTACGGCATCATGAAGGAGGACGGGTATCGGTGTCAGATGCCCGTAGCCAAGGATAGGATCCATAGGCCCCCACCTGGTTACATCAGCGTGTACACCAGGCAACTTCAATCTGGACTTAGATTTCCTCTGCATCCATTTATTGTATAGGTGCTGAACGGGTACAACATTTCGTTGTGCCAATTAACCCCGGTCAGCATCCAAAGACTCATGACCTTTCTATGGGTCTGTCTCTTCTATGGATACAAGCCGAGCATTCATTTTTTCCGCAATTGCATAAGTTGATGCCGAATCAGCAGTCTGATGAGCACCATGGCCCTGGATGGTGGAGAATTGAGACCCAGAGAAGGCACCCAACCACTTAGCCTAATGACACCTTAGATAAAGGTTGGAGGGGCCAGTGGATATGGATTCGGGCTCCCGCCGAGGAGGACCACCGAATTATTTTGGAGGGCCGAGAGACCTGAGAATGCTGGATCCGAAGATGAAAGTCGTCGGCCTAGATGACTTCTCAGCCGAGGAGAAG